AAAATCATAGAATTTTTGATTTTGTAACTCCCAATTAATTAATGATATGGGTGTTACATAAATTTTTTTACCTAAATACCCTTTTCAACTTTGTTCACTTATCTTTATGAAATTCTAAATTTAAAAAAAATAAGTTTTTATCATGATTAATCACAACCGTTTATTGAAAGATTGAATGGTCAAGATCGGTTAACAAAGTTAACACAAAAACTTTAGTTAACATTTGAACTTGACCCTAGATATATATAAATATATATATATATATATATATAAATATATATATATATATAGAGAGAGAGAGAGAGGGGGGTTGGTTCAAATACTAACCCATTTTTTGTGTTAACTATGTTAACCAACATCAACCAATCATGTTCTATCTTTTAGTTAGGTTCAAATGTAACTCACATATTAAGTGTAAGGGTATTTAGGTAATTTGTCATTTTTATGTAACTCCCCAATATTTTAATTGGGAGTTACAAATCTTAGAATATCACTAATTGATCTTCATGTAATAATGACATGAACTTTCACATTTGTTCATCTTACTGATTTTTACATTTCATTCTTCCTACAATGGTTTTGATATTGTAAATTTCAAAAAAGTCCATTTTGTAAAGATTCCGTTATAGTCCGAGTAATATAGATAATTATAGAGTAAAACAGATCGACGACAATGAGAATGAAAAAGCTAAAAGCGTCTACGAATATATTCGGAATTCGAATTCCGAAAGTGAAGAAAATGATCAAACCGTTCACGCACATATTCATTCAAACGTCGACATATATGTTCACTCGTGCACATATGTATTCAATTGGTTCACACAATATGTCCATTTGGTTCACACACATGTTTCAATTGTTCATTAGGTTCACACATTGTTTTGATGAAGATTATGAACCTAATTTTTCAATTGTTCATTAGGTTCACACATTGTTTTGATGAAGATTATGAACCTAATTTTTCAATTGTTTATTAGGTTCACACATTGTTCATTAGGTTCACACACATGTTTCAATCTTATCTGGATGTCGTCGCCTGGTAATCCTTCCAAATCCTCCATTGTTTTGATGAAGATTAATTATGAACCTAATTTTTAGCTACTGATTTAAGATATTGATTGATGAGATTGACGGTTTCTTTATTTATTGGAAGTTACAGAATAGGCTGACAAAGTAGGATACGTTAAGATTATTCACTTTTTACAATTCTACCCTTTGAACCATTGTGAAC